CAGATAACTATGCTTCAAGGACAGCAAGCAGCCCAATCTGAGACAGAAATGCCTGCTGGCTCTAGACATAAACTGCAGAGCTACAGGGTCCCTTGGAGTCTTGAGTCCTAACATCTCAATGTCATTTTAAGAGTAATCATTTATAAATTAGAAACATTCTTTTATATAGAAAGCAACTAGGAATGATTTTCAGATAATGTGACTTTTACAACAATATGAAACCACATACTTTTACTAGACACTAAATTTCTGACTTTTAATCCTGCTTTAGAAACATTAAGAGTTTACATTATTGGAATGAACTCATGATTTTTTAAAAATGTTTTTAATATATATTTATTGATTTCAGAGAGGAAGGGAAAGAGAGATAGAAACATCAATGATGAGCCGAGACCGGTTTGGCTCAATGGATAGAGCATCGGCTTGGGGACTGAAGGGTCCCAGGTTCGATTCCGGTCAAGGGCATGTATAATACCTTGGTTGCGGGCATATCCCCAGTAGGGGGTGTGCAAGAGGTAGCTGATCGATGATTCTCTCTCATCGATGTTTCTAACTATCTCTCTCCCTTCCTCTCTGTACAAAATCAATAAAATAAAATAAAAATATTAAAAAAAAACACACATCAATGATGAGAGAGAATCATTCATCGGCTTCCTACTGCACGCCCCACACTGGGGATCAAGCCCACAACCCAGGCATGTGCCCTTGACTGGAATCTAACACTGGACCCTTCAGTCCACAGGCTGATGCTCTATCCACGGAGCCAAACCGGCTATGGCCGAAGTCATGATGTTTAAGAAATGTGTGGCAGGTGCTCTCCCCTCCAGGGAGTATGGCTGTGCCATTCCCTTCTCTCTTTTCTCCTCCCCCACTCCCCTGTAACATATCCCCTATCCTCGTAAGTCTAAGGGACCCCGTGAGGCTTGCAGCCAGAGAGCAATGGGCAGCTGCGGCTCGTCCAGGGCTAACTCCTTGAACCTATCTCCAAACAACAGGCAGCTGCGGCTCGTCCAGGACTAACTCCTTAAACCCGTCTCTGACTGCCCCGTGAGCTACAGCAGCCCAACCTCGGCTTTCCTGGTGCTTCTCCTATGCCCTTTCTTGTTTCACTGCGCTAAGTATATTTTTGCTGCAGTCAATAAATTCTTGCTTGCTTTTCTAAAAAAAAAAAGAGAGGGGGGCAGGGGAGAAAGAAATATATGGCAGAACTCTACCTGCAGGAAATACTTGGAAGCAATGATATTCCATTAACAATGAGCATGCACAGAGCTTAAATACTGTTTATGAAGTACCATTCCCTACTAACAGGAACCAGGGCTCCTTGGAGAAATGTTTTCAGGTCAAGGGAAATATTAGATGAGCCTGGAATACCTTTTTAAGTCAGAAGACAAAGAAGTGTTCAAACAATGACGGGGGCATGTTAACCACCTGTATGCCACAAGCAGCTACAGACCCAAACGGCGGGCCTTTTTAATTCAATTCCAAATATCCAGGCAGTTAACTGGTTAAAGACACAGGCACCACTTGAAAGAGCTCCCACTGGCCAAGTCTGGGACAATGTGAACAGTAATAGAAAACACACCGAATAAAAAAGAAATTCATAAATCCATACTGATATAAATAAATGAATACGTAAATATGTGTGAGAGAATGGAAAGCTTTACTTTGCAGTAGAGTGCTTACTAATAAACTTAGAAGAGCCCAGCCAGCGTGACTCAGTGGGTGAGAGATGACCTATGAAAGCCAGGAGGTCATGGTTCAGGTTCAAGTTCCCGTCATATGACAAGGTGGTGGGCTTGATCCCCAGTGTAGGGTGTGCAGGAAGCAGCCAATCAATGATTCTGTTTCATTATTGATGTTTTTCTCTCTCTACCTCTCCCTTCCTCCTCTCTGAAATCAATAAAAACATATAAAAATAAAAATAAACCTAAGGGGAATTAGAAAAGCATCATTTAGGAACCATCGTAGTAATAACTGACTCAGGTAAGAATCATGGATGGATACAAAAACAAGTGGGTGCTAGTTTGATAAGAAACAGGATGTTAATGTAGTTTCAAAAAGTTATCTTCCCAATGCCCTGGCCGGGTGGCTCAGTTAGTTAAACACTCAAACACAAACAAACACACACACACACACACACACACACACGCCCCTTTCAACTGTTATGCATCCAATTCATCAAAGAAAATAGTGGAAGGAGCCACCATTCCTGCTTTGCGGACGCTCTAACAGCTCTTCCAGATCCACCAACATACTTGTTCATTAATTCAGGTCCCTTTATGCAAGAAAAGTCCAGTCCCCTCTCAATGGCCAGAGCCTTTGTAATCATCCGGGTTATAAAGCGTCCAGGCGGCCCCCACAGAACTCCTGCCGGCGGCAGCTGACCACCCGTGCGTGGGGGGCAGCCTACATGCGACCAGGGCCATCCCACAGCCTGCGTCAATGTCAGTTTGCTACTTCCCAGGCCTCTGTCCGACCAGGATACAACCAGACATCCACTGCAACCTCCCTCACGGTGGAGGGCTTGCCGAAAACCAGAGTGACCTTCACCAACCCGTCACCCTGCTGCCAGGAGGTCAGACTGTTTCTCCAGGACTCCCGGCGAAGGCGGAGGGTCCTGTCCCCCCGCAGCGCTTCCCTGGGCGCGGGCGCCTAGAGGACGCGGCCCAGGCTGTCTCCTTCCCTGGGGCGGCCCCAGCATCCCGGGCAGGGCCTGGCTCCACAAATGAATCAAAACCAAAACGTTAACGAGGGTATTTCCACTCGCTCAAAATCAGTCCTGGCTGTAACATGAGGTCTGAGATGTGCATTATATACTCTACCCGGTACATGAGAAACCCAAAAAGTGAACAATAACAACAACAAAATCCTTATCCAAACTTCCTATCTCACCATTCATGAATTAAGGACAACACTTTTTTTTTTTTAATCATTTACTACTTTCACACACAAAATATTTGCACGCTTTCATCGGAGCCATCATTTCGGTTTTTGGTGTTTTTTTTTTTTTCAAGTCACATCACTCACCTGGACTCAACCTTCCTCTCCATTCTCCGCTTAATCTTTTCTTATTTTACGGGAATTCAACCAGTGGCTTGATATATATATATATACTATTCTGAGTGAGCAGATTCTTCACGAATCAAATCTCTTCTAACTACAAGAAAGAAAAAAGAAAAGAAAAAATGAGAGGGGGTGTATTTTTTGAGAGAGGCCGGAAAAGAGAGAGAGAGAGAGAAGCATCCTTTGGCGGCTGCCTTCCCGGTGACAACCCCACACCCCCCAACTGGGGAGTGACCCCGCGACCCCGGTATGTGCCCTGCCCGGGACCCGAACCGGCAGCCTCCGGGGGCACGGCCGGCCCCCACCCGCGCAGCCCCGCTGGCCGGGGCATTACCCATCAGCTTTCCAACCCAACGGCCCCAACAGGGGTGGCCATTTCCATGCAGAAACCAAGGGCCCGAGGCGCCCAGCTGGGTCCCCGCTCCCTCCACGCCCCAAACGCGGTCGCCCGCACGGAGGTCGGCGGGGAGCCGGGACGGCCTCCGGCGGCCGGAGCGCAGCCCTCCTCGCCCCGGGAGGGGAGGCTCCATCCCAAAGTCGGCGCCTGGCCTCGGGGCTCAGAAAGGGGGTCGGCGACGCCGCAGGGACCTGGAGACACACCCACACCCACGCCCCCATCGGAGCCACGCGAGGGGCGCCCCGCGCGGGGGGGAAGCGGCGCCAGGTCCGGGCTCCGCGACCCTGAGGAGCAGCAGCCGCCAGAACGACGCGAGCGCCGCGCCGCGCCGCGCCGGGCGAGGACGGACTCGGGGAGGCTCTCCCCACGCCCCTTCCATCCCCTCCCGGCCCCGGGGGCGGGCGGCGGCGGCGCTACCTGCACCTCAGGACCCGGAGGACGAGGGGGAGGAAGCCGAGGCTGCCACGGGACCCCCCCCCCCCGGCCCGGTGCTGAGAGGCGTGCACGCGCTGACCCCCGAGAGGCTGAGCCTCAGGAAAGGTGGGGACCCTCGGACCCGGCCTCTTACCTGAGGAAAGTGCAGCCCTCGGGAGCAGCGCCTCAGGAAAGCCGGGCGGGAGCCGGCGGACGCCATCCAATTTCCGGCGCCCGTGAGAGAGTAATCTCGCGCAGGTTCAGCCTTTCCCGCGCATCTCGCGCCGGCCCCGCCCACGTCTCCTAGGCGACGCGGCGTGCGTGAGGGACGCGGCGCCTGAGACCCGGGAGTTTCGCGCAGCCGCAGTGCGTCGGGTGACACGCCCCCTTCTAGCAGCATTGCACTGTCTGGGTGGGTGATTGTCCGTCTGGGCTAGGTGGGGGCGCGTTGTTCTGCAACCCCCTAATTAAAACGGCCCCAGGCTGATAGCTTCTCAATCCTTCCCTTAAAGTGTGGTTAACATGCACTCGTTACCATGTTAAATTTGGGGTCCACTCTAGGATCATCTTTTAAAAGCAGGGGAGGGTGAGAGTTGGTGAGACGTTTTTACATGCTTTTCTCCTGTGCTTTGTAAAATATCGCTGGAAAGCACATGAGATGTCTGGTGGAAAGAGCAAAACCTAGCTAGTGTCATACATGTAAATGCTTGGAAGGTTTTACGTTAAAAACATAAGGAAAAAAATTGTTGGGTGTCTCGGGATTAGAATATCAGGTAATTTGCATTTTTGCCCTATTTTCTACATGTTAATTTTTAAAAATATATTTGTATTGATATCAGAGAGGAAGGGAGCGATAAACATCAATGAGGAGAAAGAATCATCCATCAGCTGCCTCTTACACACACACACACCCTCAACTGGTGATCCAGGCAGCAACCCAGGCATGTGCCCTTGATCACAACTGAACTCAGGACCCTTCAGTCCTCAGGCTGACGCTCTATCCACTGAGCCAAACCAGTTAGGGCTGAGCAGAGCTTCTTGAATTTTTCCCCCCCTTGATCAAGGTTGTGGTTGCATGATTGAGTTTGCCTTGTGAAAATGTAGAGATGAGCCCTTAGAATTTGTATACTCTTCTGTATGTATATACTTCTTCAATAAGTATATATATTTTTTATAAAATGCTACAATGAAACAAGTTTTTGCAAGCACAGGTGCATGTGGTTTACAGATGCCCCCCTTTAGTCAATTATTACCTTTATTTCTAGGTGATACGGTAATTGTCTTCTTTCACAAGCACAAATTGAGACTCAGAGAGAGGTAACAAGGTTCCACAAGACATTCAAGAGCCTAGTGGAAGAGTACATCCTAACTAGGGTAAGCCAGAGGGCCTAAGAAATTAGCTCCAGGCCAGGCCAATATCATGATAATAAATTGCCTTGAGATTTAACATGTGATTTGTGGCAATTTTAAAATAGGCTCACACCTTCTTTTAGCGCTCCTCCCATATAAAGGTGAGGTCTAAGTCCCCTCCCTTTGAACATAGGCCAGCCCTGGTGACTCCTAGCTGAAGAACACAATGTGGCACCGAAGACACTGCGTGATCTTTTTTTAAAATATATATATATATATATTATTGATTTTTTACAGAGAGGAAGAGAGAGGGATAGTTAGAAACATCGATGAGAGAGAATCATCGATCAGTTGCCTCTTGCACACCCCCTACTGGGGATGTGCCTTCATCCAAGGTACATGCCCTTGACCGGAATCGAACCTGGGACCTTTCAGTCCGCAGGCCGATGCTCTATCCACTGAGCCAAACCGGTTTCGGTGACACTGCGTGATCTTGAGGTGAGGTTCGAAAAGAAAACTCAGCAACTGTCTGATGCTTTCATTCTCTCTGGATACTTACCCTCGGAATCTAGCCACCATCTTGCCACAGAGAAAGGCCATGTGGCAGTGTTTCAGCCATTCCAAAGGTCCCAGCTGACAGCCACCGTCAACCATCAAACATGAGAGCCACTAGGTCAGTGGTCGGCAAACTCATTAGTCAACAGAGCCAAATATCAACAGGACGATTGAAATTTCTTTTGAGAGCCAAATTTTTTAAACTTAAACTATATAGATAGGTACATCATAATTAACTCAATTAGGGCACTCCTAAGCTGGCCTTTGCTAAAAACTCAAAAGGCCAAAGAGCCACATGTGGCTCGCGTGCCGCAGTTTGCCGACCACTGCTCTAGGTGATCCTAGCCCCCCGCCTTCCACCACCACAGCCGATTCTCTGGCACAGAGACCAGCTGTCTCAGATAAAACCGCCCAAAAAGCAGATTGGAGTGCAAAATAGATGTGCAGTGAAGCCACTGGTTTGGGGTAGTTCATTACACAGTAATAGATAACAGGCACAGTGTTTTTAATATGCCTAATTCCCGCTACCAGCTTAAAAAGGAGATACTACTCGGCCAGTGTGGCTCAGTGGTTGAGCACTGACCCAAGAGGGAGAGAGGGAGGGGAAGAGAGAAAACCATCTATGTGAGACACGTTGATTGATTGCCTGGCACATGCACCCCAACAGGGGCGGGGATCTAACCTGCAACTTAGGTACCTGTTCTTGACCCCTTCTGACTGGAATGAACCTACCAATGTACAACACCCGTGGATAGAGTGTTGGCCTGGGGACTGAAGGGTCCCAGGTTCAATTCCGGTCAGGGGCATGTACCTTGATTGGGGGCACATCCCCAATGGGGGGGGGGGTGTGCAGGAGGCAGTTGGTCAATGTTTCTTTCTCATCTCATCAATGTTTCTATCTCTCTCCCTTCCTCTCTGTAAAAAGTCAACAAAATACATATTCTTTTTAAAGACCACTGATTTTTTTTTTGATTTTTTTTTCTTTTTATATATTTTATTGATTTTGTACAGAGAGGAAGGGAGGGAGAGAGTTAGAAACATCGATGAGAGAGAGTCATCGATCAGCTGCCTCTTGCACACCCCCTACTGGGGATCTGCCCGCAACCAAGGTACATGCCCTTGACCGGAATCGAACCCGGGACCTTTCAGTCCCCAAGCCGACGCTCTATCCATTGAGCCAAACCGGTCCCGGCTTTTTTAAAGACCACTGATTTTTTTTTAATTTTTTAATAATTAAAACGACCATTGTTTGAGCACCTATAATGTGTCTCTGCATAGGCTTAAAAAACACACAGCAGCTTTACGGGGATTGTACAAGGCCTTTTGCCCACCTTATCCTATTTAATCTGGACAACAGCGATATGAAGTGAGTTATCATCCCAATTTGAGGAGAAAACCAAGGCTAAGAATGAATGAATGAATGAATGAATAAATACAGTAAATAAATATCCTAATTCTCCGCAGTCTACAGGGAGGCAAATTCGGCCCATTTGCAAATGCTCCCCTCTGCCTCTTGCTTGCAGAGAAAATATAATATGTAAGAAACACATGGTTGTTTCGTTATTATTAAAAACGTTTGCATCACAATTTTCTCTGTTGCCAAGATTCATGAGAAGAAAACTTAGTGATCAGTGTCCATGCCCTTGATGTCTCAGGAAAGTTAAGCTCCAAGAAAGTAGGTCCCTTAAAAAACCATCCACACCCATGTGTCATTTCACACAAATCCTGGGCGGTGCGCCGGGACAGAAACCGGAGCCGGCGCTCGTCCTGCCGAGCAGGCTCCCCGGTGACCGCTCCTCCCCGCACAGCCGCTCCCCCCGCGGCCCACACGGTGGGGAAACGGTATTTGCATCTCGGCGTCCCCCCTTCAGAGTGTCCGCACTCGGTGCTGAGCGCTTGACGCTCATTTTCACCCAAACACACTCGCACTTCCCCTTCCTGGGCAGACTTCAGGTTATGGGCGGGAAGAAGAAAAAAAACACACGTTTCAATGAATTTGTCAGTCGCCTTCAGCTCCATCAAAAGCAAGCGTGGCCCGCCTGCCTAGTAAAACAGCAATAACCACAAGTAATCTCGTTTATCCCTCCGGAATGTTTATAGAGAAACCCTTTTAAAAAGAGCGGGACTCAGAGAAGGCAGCTTCGCGCCCCAGATCACAGCACTAGAAAGAGCTGGGGTTCGAGCCCACACCCCGAAAGGCTCAACCCCCCCAGCCAGGCAGGCTCGCCTGACTCGGATGATCCCCTCCGCCTAAGCCCCACGGTTCTCCGCGGGCGACGACATGGCAAACAAACGCAGCGACCCAGGCCGCAGGCCGCGGGCCCCGGCCCCCCGCCCTCCGAGGAGAGCACCCCAGCGGGGGTCGCGGGCTCCCCACACCGCCCGTCCCGCTCCTCCCCGCCCCGAAGCGCGCGTGGGAACCCGGCGTTCCCCCAGGGGCTGCCCACGACGGCCGCCTGCGCGCACCGGGGCGGGCGGATGCCCCCTCCGGCCCGGCCTCCCCGCCCCCACCGTCACCTCCACCCGCCGCCTCCACCTCCTCGCCTCCGAGCGCTCGCGGGAGCCCGCACCCCGGAAGCGCGCCCCGAAGGCCCCCCTTTTCGGCCCGGCACCGCCGCGGCCACCTCACATCCGGGCTCGCGGCGGCGGGGCGGCGCCGCGTTCCGTGCGTGGAGGGAGTTATTAAGAGGGCGGGGGCCGGCGGAGGGCGGAGGGCCGGGCCGCGGTTACGGCGGCTGAAGGGAGACAGCCCGGACGGGTGGGGGGGGGGCGAGAGCGAAGGCCGCGTTGAGAAGCGCTGGGACCCGCGCGGGCGGCGGCGAGGGGAGCGGCGGCCGAGGGGAAGGGCCTCCGGGCGGCGGAGGCGCCGAGTAAGAGCCGGGCGGCGGCGGCGGGGACGGGCGCCGGGGACGGGCGCCGGGGCCGGCGGAGAAGGGGCGCGGGCGCGCTGCTCCCGGGGTCGCGTGCGTTAGCGCGGACGCCGGGGCGCGCGCGGGGGGCGGGCGGGCGGGGACTCGGAGGGAGCCAGCGGGGCGGCCCCGCGGGCGGGCGGGCTGGTTGGGCCGGAGCCGCCGGGCCGGACGGCGGCGGGCCTGTGCCGGCTCCAGCTCGGGGCGCCCCGGCTGGGGGTTCGGTCTCCCCCGTTCCCTCTGGCCCGCCTCCTCTCGTGAGTACAGTCCCCGCCTTTCCTCGGAAGGAGGCCGCTGGCCGGGGCCTGCGCGAGAGGCCGGGGGTTGGGGTCGCGGCCGCGGGGAAGCGGAGTTTGGGAGCCGAAGCCGGCGCTCGCCTGACATGGCCACAGGTGCGGCTGGCGGCGGGGCGAAGGGCGCTCGGGCTCCGTCCCCGGCCCCCGGCCTCCGGAGAACGAGGGGCAGCTGGCGCCGTCCATTGGCAAGTGACAGGCACTTGACTACACACCCGACTTCCCGTATCTCCGGACCCAGCCCCTGTCCTACCTGCCCCCGCTCCGGGAAACTTCCCCGCGGCTCGGTGTCCGGTCTCCACGAGTAGCAGCCACGAATCTTGGTTCCTGTTTGTCGTGTAGCAGCTGAAAGGCTGTCCCCACGACATGGGCACCTTCCCATGCTGGGTTCCTCACCCTTTTGATGGTCTAGGGCACTTGATTCACTGGAAGAGACAACCAAAGACCATTTACAACGGGGCTCTGGTTTATAGCACAGTGGTTGGGTGAAGGTTTGTTTCTTAATGGTAGTCATGTTGAGAGGGGGGAAAGTTTCCGTTTCTTAAAGAGTCAAAACTTCTGGAACTGTATTGTTCTCAGAGACAGTTTTGTGCTCATTTCTCTTCCAGGTGCAAAGATTCGTAGACCCAGGAGCCATGGAGAGGAGTGTGGGTGACATAGAAAACGGAGATGCTTTCCTTGACTTGAAGAAGCAACTGGCCTCCAAATCCCCCCATCGCTATACAAAAGTAGGCTCTGTTAACAATGAAATAGTGTTTCTCTGTAAAGGTGGGGAGGTTGGTAACATTGTGTAGGTATCTCATTGTGTTATCTCAAGTGGTGGTGTCCTTCTGATTGACTATATGGACTAAACAAATGTTAACTAAAAAGCATAGCTTTGAACTTTTTTTCTGAAAGCGTGAATACCCAGAGTTTAAACTAGAAGGCGCTTCTAAGTAGCTTTCAGGTGAAAGGAATGTTGGCTCAGATCCCATATGAATTTGTGGACCGGTCCGTATATGGTGGCACACACACATTCTGTAACTGCTGGTATGTTGTTGACTTAGAGGAAGAACTGCATCTTTGAGATGCCTCACAAAACCAGTGTCCTGTGTTTTCATGCTTTCTTAAGAGGCTAACACCCCAAAGGAATGCATTCCAGGTGCTTGGCTAGAGTAACCAGATTTTCAGTTATTTTTTGTTTCTTGTCACAGATTGAATATGGACTCACAGAAGGAAGACTTCAGTGATATTTCCCCTAGCTGAGAAATCATGATTTTAAACTGCTTTTGCGGGGGGGGGGGGGGGGGGGGGGGGGGGTGGGTTGCAAAACACCCCAATGTCGTATTCTTATTGAAGCTATCATTTCCCTCAGGATCAATGTTGGTTATTGAATGTTTCTGAAGAGGTTGGCCGGGCTGGGTGCGCTGTGAATTCATTCCTGGTTCCCTGCCCTGTGTTGGGCTGGGGTGTATATTGTAAAACATGCTTGGGACTGCTGACAGAGCGGGTTGTGTCCTAGTTGGGTCCATAGCTATGCTTTCTTACTATGGACCCAGTCGAGGACTCCGAGGTGGTTATTGTCCCTGGCTTGCTAGGGTACCGATTGGTTAATATTTTAAAGTGCAGCCTTGTTTGTGTACTTTTGTCGCTACTCTTACCTGCTTGATAAAGTATCGAATGCTGTCAAGTAATATTTATTTTTAGCATTTAGAAAACCTCTCTAGAGGGAGAAAAATGTCTTCAAGTGTGAAAGAGTTCTTGGTTAATTGCTGTCTTACTGCAGTCTGTTTAGCATAACAGAGTTGATAGAAAGCATTTTACTTCATCCAGGTTTGGTCCTCCCTAATGTAGTTCCTCTCAAACCTGAGGGTGCTTGTTGAATAGTGTTCACAACTTAAATTCATTACCTAAAACGTTGACAGGTGAATTTTGAGTAGAGAAAAGCTTATTAATTGAAGGGAAACTTTTATAAGCTTCTGTGATTTCAATTCTGC